ACAGAGCCTCCCTTTTCTAGCTGTGTGGCTTTGACTAGTCACTCCCTCTGGCCCTTGGTTTCCTCAGTTCCGCAGTGGAGATAGCATCCTGTGAACTTCACAACATCTTTGTGAAAGATCCCCATTTGCCAAATTGGAAAACTGAGGCCCAGATAGGGTAAATTATTTGCTCAAGGCCACCCAGTAAGCTGCTAACACAGCAGGAACTTGAACCCAGTCTCTGGACAACTAGTGTGGGCTTTTTAATCATCTACCTTTGTGCCATGACCCACCTCCCCCACTCTCCCTCCTCCGACTGGAACACCTTACTAGAATATGACATACACATGCCCTCCATTGTGCCTCCCACAGGATTTTGACTTGCTGCTGATCTTTCTTGCGGACGAGAATGACAACCACCCCCTCTTTACTGAGAGCACTTACCAGGCAGAAGTGATGGAGAACTCTCCTGCTGGTAGGTGCTGGACCTACTTGGGAACTCCTGCTGCTGCCAGGTACCACCTGGGCCCCAGATGCCTGTGGATTCACCTTGTGCCTGATGGGGACCCGGCTGAGGCCTGGCTAGGGAGGCAGCCTCACCATGTGGCTGAACACAGAGCCAGCAGGTGCAGAAGGGTGTAGAGGAGAGGGAGGGGCACAGTTCTGAGGAGCTGGTGAGCCCAGGCTGCCAGGCCTCTTAGGAGCCACCAAAGAGGCCAAAGATCTGGTTGAAAGTGGTCACTGCTCCTTAAAGCGGTCTGAGAGCAGCCCTACCATCTCCTCAAGAGGGACATTTAAGAGTGAGGACTACCCAGGAGGGGAGTAAGCCCGCCCTTCTCTGCTCCCTCCCCCCCAGGGTCACAGAGCATCCTGGGGGCTTCTGGAAGCTCAGGGAACATCTATAATCAGAGATGGCGGGGGCAGGGAGCCCTGGGTAGGCAAGCAATGGCCTTTCCCCACACACATGCACTGACCAGCCTCACTTTTCTTCAAGGGGACAGAATCTCTTTTTTTCTGTCCCTCAGGGAGTTCCCCTTACTCTTCCTCCAGCCTCCCCAGCCCCCCAAGCCTTGATCCTAAGTCAAAATGAGATCACCTGAGATACTCCTTGTGTCTTGCTGGATGTTCCCCTACATGAATTTATTTCTTAATCCTGCCAGTGTATATGCACACACATGAACCAGTACATATTCATGTCAAGGCACATGCGTGGGCTTACACATCTGCACATGCATAGGAACATGGGTGCCTACACAGTGCAGTCGGTGTGCAAATGTGCCCACCTGCAGAGGCAGACAGGCTCATAACCAGAGGACTCCCAGGCCTACAAGTGCTCCCATGTGTGCGCTTGTGGCCACATGAACACAGAAGTCCCACACACAAGTGTGGATACCTAGTTATGCATGGTCAGACACCTGTATTAAGTGTTGTGTACCCACACGTGTGGCTATGCTGGGTGGAGTATGCATACATAGACAGGGCCCACACATAGGGCAGGGATGTCAGGGAGCCCCCAGACCCTCCCGCGGAGTGGCCAGCCTCAAAGACTGCTGGGAAGGCAGGCATGCTCCAGGTGGGCAGGAGGGGCTTGCTCACCACTGTTGTGTTTTCTCCCCAGCAGGGCTTTGAGGCCGCTCCCCAGGCATCTGCGTCAGTCTGCCAAGGCTGCCGCAGCCCGGCCCAGGGCCTCCCCACCCCATCCACCTCACCTCCCTCCCTCTCATCCATCGTCAGCCATGGCTCACCAGGAAGGGGTTGGGGGTGGGGGCGGGGTGGGGGCAAATTGACCCTGCAGTGACCCCTCTTCCTCTGGCCCAGGAACCCCCCTCACAGTGCTCAATGGGCCCATCCTGGCCCTGGATGCAGACCTGGATGTCTATGCCGTGGTGACCTACCAGCTGCTGGGTGCCCAGAGTGGCCTCTTTGACATCGACAACAGTACCGGTGAGGCCTCTGCACCCCACCCCCACCCGCAACACTCCCAGCCTGGCTCCACGTCTTCTAGGGGTGGTGGGAGTAAGCCCCCTGCTAGATCTAGGGCTTCCCTTCTTACTGCTGGATCTGGGCTCTCTATGGAGACCCCATTTCTCACAGCCCCCACCTTGCAGCTGGATTAGGCCATCTAGGGGCCAGGCTAGGGAGGCAGCCCAGGAGAAGGCGTGGGGACAACATAAGGGACCTGCTAGTTTATAAACTGTCAGCCTAGGCAGAGAGCCTTCCAGCCCACTCCTTCCATCTCCCCTTGCCCAGGCCAGAAACTCAGGCCCCTAGTCAGCCAGAAGCAACCAAAGTTCTGTCCTCAAATCAGACCCAAATATCCCCAGAGACTATGTTACATCTGTCTAGTCCCAAACAGTAGGCCAATTTGGTGACAGGTGATAACAAGGAAAGATATACTAGTACCTCTCTTAATAGAGCAGGTCAGTCCTCCACTCTGGGTCGCTCCTTCCAGGCAGGACTCTGGAGAACTGCAGAGAGCATCTGGGAAGGGGACAATCCCAGGAGACTGGCACCTAGGGGACCTCCCTAAACATTTGTTTTTGAGCTTTTAGGGAAGAAAGTCATTTGTTGCTTTCTCTGCTCCTTTTTTTTAATCTGTTTTCCATGTCATGCCCTGGTCTTTCTCTGTCCCCTCTTGCTGGCTCTTGCCCTGTCTCCCCACTGCACCCCTTTCCCTTTGCATCTCCCTGGCTGGTGGTGCTGGGTGCCAGGTGTGGTAACCGTGAGGTCAGGTGTTGTCATTGACCGGGAAGCCTTCTCACCTCCTGTCCTGGAGCTGCTGCTGCTGGCTGAGGACATTGGGCTGCTCAACGGCACAGCCGACCTGTTCGTCACCATCCTAGACGACAATGACAACTGGCCCACCTTTAGCCCTGCAGCCCTCACCATCCACTTACTGGAGAACTGCCCGCCAGGTAAACTGGGCACAAGTCCCAGGCCCTGGCCCCCAGGCAGGAGCTGGTTGGTGGTATGTGGGGACTGGAGCCTCACAGGTTGGAGGCAGAATTTACCTTCAGTGGGAAGAAGGACAGGCAGCAGAATGAATGAAGAGAGCACTGGAGAGGGAGTCAGGAGACCCAGGCCCCCTCACTTTTCTTCTCTGATCCACAATGAGATTAAAGTATGCAAAATGAGATTAAAGTATGTTCCTCCCATGTTCCTGAATGGGAAGACTGTTTTAAAATCAAAATAGCATTAATGTGATTCCCATCAAAAGTAAATAAGATTTGAGGGGAGGGTAAATTTGATTTTAAAGGTCGTCTCGAAGAAAGAACATTTTGAAAAATAGGTATAAGAAAGCCACATTTGACTTAGCAAATATTAAAGCATATTATAAAACTACAGCATTTAAAATCATGAGCACAAGAGTCTGTGACAAAGTACCTCAAAAACAGGTACTAATAAATGAAAGAATGTAATGTGCGATAAATGAAACACTGAAACCAGTAGTAAAAACTAATTATTTAGTGTGCAAAACATCTATTAATATTTAATGTAGATTCTCAACCCCCATCAGACATTAAAATGAAACCCAAAGACATTCTAAAGAAAATATAAAAAAGTAGAAAACCTTAGAAAATAAAAAAGAAGCTTTAGGTGATCTGACTTTGGGATAAGAAGGTTCTAAGCACATAAGAAACAGAAGAACTTTAAAAAGGAAAAATATTAAATTTCAACGCATACAAATGTATACTTCTTTACATCAAATAATTACAGCCAATATTGAAAGACAAGCAACATCCTGAGAAAAAAGATATTTGTCACAAGTTATCCTAATTATATAATTGTACAAATTGACAAAATGGGCAAAGGACAAAAGCAATTTGCAGAAGATACAACTGAGTATTAAATTATTTTAAATTGTTCAATCTCACAAACAATGTAAAATAAAATAAGATACTGTTTTTCTACAAAATCACAAACATGAAAAATGTGTTGGCAAGGCCGTGGTAAGAAGGGGCCCTTGTGAACCACCAACAAATGTCTGTTGGTTGGTGTGATGTTTTTAGAAGAGGCCACTGTGCTCAGCTACTCCCTATTCTCACCCACCCCCACAGGATTCTCAGTTCTTCAGGTCACAGCCACGGATGAGGACAGTGGCCTCAATGGGGAGCTGATCTACCGAATAGAAGCTGGAGCTCAGGACCGCTTCCTCATCCATCCAGTGACTGGAGTCATCCGCGTGGGCAATGCCACCATCGACAGGGAGGAACAGGAATCTTACAGGCTGACAATAGTGGCCACCGACCGAGGCACCATCCCTCTCTCAGGCACAGCCATCATCACTATCCTTATCGATGACATTAATGACTGCCGCCCTGAGTTCCTCAACCCCATCCAGACAGTGAGTGTGCTGGAGTCAGCAGAGCCAGGCACTGTCATTGCCAATGTCACCGCCATCGACCGTGACCTCAACCCAAAGCTGGAGTACCACATCATTGGCATCATGGCCAAGGACGACACCGACCGCCTGGTGACCGACCAGGAGGACGCCTTTGCCGTGAATATCAACACAGGTACAAGGGCCTGCTCCCCTCCCACCCCAGGTCCCGACTCCCTGCCCTAGTCTCTTTTCCTCACCCTCTTCTTTCATGTTCTCTCTCCCCCCGCTCCCCGCTCCCCCTCAGCTGCTCCTCTGTCTTTGCTCTTCTCTTCCCTGTCGATACCGTATCCTTCCCTCTGCTTTCCATCTCTCCCTTTGCTCCTTCCCTCTCTCCTTTCTCTTCTTCCTCCTCCCTTAACGAGCTCCCTCTCATTCTGATTCTCTCAGTCTACCAGTGTTGCATGAGAGTGCCCATCTTACTACACTCTTGCAAGCATTAAATATTAGAAAGTTTTTTAAATTATTTTTTTCAGTTACAGTTCAATATTATTTTATATTAGTTTCAAGTGTACAGCATAGTGGTTAGACATTTATATAATTTATGCAGTGATCCCCCCGATTAGTCTGGTACCCACCTGGCACTATACATAGTTGTTGCAAAATATTATAGAGTTTTTATGTTTGTAATTTTCTAGGAAAATGGTACTTCGTTTTAATATGCATTTTTTTAATAATTAAGTGATAGAACACTTTTTTATGTATGCTGATATTTAAAGCATCTGTAAGATATATGTATATCTCCCCCCATATGTATGTGTGTATGTATATCCTTAATGATTTTCTTACACTATCACCAAACAAAGGGAACCGTGGCCTCTTTTATAATTTATGCAGCTTATTATAATTTCAATGGTTTTACCATTTTTCCAAAAGTTCAGTGTATTTTCTCCTCTGGGAAGTTAGGGAAGGGACATGGGACCTCACAGGTATACTTCTTGGAAAGCCCAGAGGAGTGACGGAAAAACTAACATGACTATTACAAAATGCTAAAAATTATTGTTAGTTAGAGAAATGCATAGTAAAACAGCAATGAGATACCAGTTAGCAGATATTAGGATGCTGAGCAATATTAAGTATTGGTGACAATGTGGGGACATCAGAACCCTCATACACTGCTGTAGGAGTTGAGACCAATTTGACCAACAGACAGCAATCTAGCACAAAATGCACTCATACCCCATGACTCAGCAATTTTGCTCCTTGGTATATGTCCCAAGGAAATTCTTAGGTCAATTATGGGACTCTCTGAGGATAGTCACTGCAATGTTATGGGTGGTGGGAGTTGGAGGCCACCTGGGCACCCATCCTTGGGAAATTGGAAACTAAAACATTGTAAGTATGCACCATGGGATACCAGGCAGCAGTTAGAAGCAACAGATTAGACTCACAAAGAGCAATATGGATAGACCTTAAAAATAAGTACTTAATGAAAAGAGTAAGAAATAGGATGGGATATATATACCACAGTCCCATTTGCATAAATGTAAGATATATACACACAAAGCCATAAATGATTTTCAGAAACACTTTCAAATAAAAAAATACACTTCAATACATTATAATAATTGTCTCAGAGAAGGGAAGGGGCAAGGTGTACGGGAATACAAGGAGTAGATACATGCATAAAACAAGAATGGCGCCAATGAACACAGTGTGCAAAAATATGCTTAACTCAATCTACATCTGAGGCCCAAAGGGAAAAAGAAGACAGGAAAACCATGAGCACTAAAAGTCAGATGGGTTAAGCCGTGTCCCAGGTTAGCAAAATCTCATTGCAGTGGTGGTCAGGACCACGGAGAGTTGCTCCACACCCCGTCCAACATTACTGTGCAGTACTGGTGCCTCTACCATTTTCTCTTTTCTGTCCTCTTTTCTGTTCTCCTTCTCTCTAACTGATTCTTTCTCTCTATTTTTCTTTCCAGTGCCTTCTCTTCCCCCTCTTCCTCACACTCTCTCCATCTGTTGTGCTCATCTTCCCTCCCCCTTCCTCTCTGTGTGAACTGGGCTTTCACGTGTTCCCCTGGCTTCCTTCCCTTCTTCCTCTTCCACTTCACAACCTCCCTTCCAAACCTCCTGCTCTGGTCAGTTCTGAGTACCAGGCCCCCCGCCCATGCCCTGCTCTGCTCCATCCCTTCTGCACCCTGAACTAACTAATGTTAACCCTCTTCTCTCTTCCTCACGGCTGGCAGGCCCACAGGTTTGAGCTCTGTTTCTCTGTCACTTCCCACCTCATCTCTTCTCTGATTCACCCCATTGCCTCCCTCCATACCCACTGCACCCCCACCACCCTTCCCATCCTGTGGGGCCCAGGCCAAGGCCGTGGCCCAGCCTTTGCAGACTGAATGCAGCCACCCTCTCCCCATCCTCGCTCCCCAGCCTCGGGGACAGGGAGCGAGAGTAGGAAGAGGAGGAGGAGGAGGAGGCAGCGCCCCAGGGTAAGTGACCACCCCATGGCTGGGGACCCGAGGAGGACAGAAACCCAGCAGGGGGATCTGCCAAGGGGAAGGGAACCCCAGAGACCTCAAGGCCTGAGAAGGAGTTGGAAGTAGAGGAAGTTTCACCCTGGGATGAGGCTGATGGGATGAGGCTGATGGGAGGAGGAGCCACCAGGCACTCCAACAGGCAGGAAGCAGAGCGGTCCCAACAGAGCATCCCTGAGATCAGCCAAACTAGATCTGCCTAGTTTAATCTTAAGTCTCTGGAGGGTTCCTCTGTGACTGGGAGCAGGCAGAGGTTCTGAGGGGCAGTGGGTAAGAGGGAAAGAAACAACTCTTTGCTGGTACTAATGTAGGATTGTGTTCCTTTCCCACCATCAGCCACATCGTGCCCCGCTTACTAGAGACAAGGGAGTAATCATGACTACCCAGCCTAATCCACCACTGTCCCCTCCAGGGAACCCCCTCCGGAGTTTTAGTGGCCTTGACCTTCCTTTATACTGGATCTCCCTAGAATACAAGCACTTTAAATTGTGATAAAATACACATAACAAAATTTACCATCTTAACCATCTTCAAATGTACAGTTCAGTAGTGTTCAGTAGATTCACATTGTAATGGAATACAAGCATTTTTTAAACAAGCAATTACATAGCACTCTCTATTACCAAGCATGCTCTAAGCTCTTTACACTCATTTAATTGCTATAATCCTCAAAAAAGCATATGTAGTAGGTACTGTAATTATCCCCATTTTACGAATGAGGAAACAGAGGTATAGTGAAGTTAAATCATTTGCCCAAGGTTACCAGCTAGTAAGCAATGAGTGAGGGGCAGATTGATGTACCCCAGCTTGCAGGTGGCTGTGGTCTCATCCCAGCCAAAGTTGAGACCAAATCTCATGTCGATGGGGGACCGTTGCCTTCAGTGGAGCTTGGGAGGATTGGCCAGGAACACCCTTGGGAGGCCCAGAATTTAGGGGGTTCCCCTCAGGCTGAACCTGATCTGGTCTGGTCTACAGGATCTGTAATGGTGAAGTCCCCCCTGAACCGGGAGCTGGTTGCCACCTATGAGGTTACTCTCTCGGTGATTGACAATGCTAGCGACCTACCAGAGCGCTCTGTCAGCATGCCAAATGGTAAGGTTCCCACACAGGCATCTCCCATTGGTTACTCAGGGCTGATCAGGGCGGGAGGGCAGGCCAGGAACAGGTACAGTCCCAGCCCCAGGAAGGAAGGAGGGACGTAGAAGGTGGCAGCTACAGCGAGGCACAAGGTGGACGTGTGTCCCAGTTGTTGGGCTGGGCTCAGCGTGGAGTATCCAGAAGCCCAAATTTTGTGTGTTCATGAAACTCAAGGCTTAGAGTGGGAGGGAGGCTTGGTAGAGGCTGGATAGGAACCGAGAAAAGGATGGGTTACAGGTTGGAATCCATTATCAGAACTGGTAACAAACGTGTGCCTGGGATGTGAGACAGGAACCTCAGATCTAATAGGAAGCCACAGGGTCAGTTTAGAGGAATGAAGGTGCAAGGAAAGCTGATCTGAAGCCAGAGACACCACATTAGAGTGCACAGGCACTACAGCAGAGAAGAGGAGCTGGATGCTGCCTGCCACAGGCCGGTACAGACTGCCCTGACTGCAGCCTGAGGCATGGGCTGCAAGGGGCTGCTAGAGACATGGATTTTGTGTGAGAAGAATGGGGAGCAGGGAGAGCGATGTAGCGATGGGGTAGCCTCAAGTGGCCTCTGCCATGAGGCAAAGACAACTGCTGGGGTGAGGAGATAAGCCTGGCAGATATCGTCTGTTATCTTTATAACCCAGAGGACTGTTTTCAGGAAGGGCAGACTATTCAGGGCTGGTCAGGGCAGGAGGGCAGGCCATCTTCTACATGTCCTACACTCAGAGAGCAAAGGGCCAAGGCTGATTATATAGAGGGAACGACTCAGACGGGAGACAGAAGGCTGAATCGTGGAAAGGGTCTTAAAGATCATCTTAGTCCTTTCTCATTGGACAGGTTAGGAAAGTGAGGTATAGTAAGGGCCAGGGGCTTTACCGAGGTTACCCAGACAGCTGGTGGAACCCAAGCCTCTTTCCCCCTGAGAGAGAGAGCTACCAGACCAGAGGAAAGGGTCACGTGCCACCGCTCAAGCTTCGGGGATCCCAAGAGGGCTATAAGATGCTGCCATCTTCTCTGGGTGTGGCTGAGTCTTAGGAAGGCCTGGCCCAGCCATATTGGTGCCCCTCACATCACCCTCAACCCCTACCTCCACCCCAGCCAAGCTGACAGTCAACATCCTGGATGTCAATGACAACACGCCCCAGTTCAAGCCCTTTGGGATCACCTACTACACAGAGCGAGTCCTGGAGGGGGCGACCCCGGGTACCACGCTCATCGCCGTGGCAGCCGTGGACCCTGACAAGGGTCTCAATGGGCTGATCACCTACACCCTGCTGGATCTGGTGCCCCCAGGCTACGTGCAGCTGGAAGACTCCTCAGCAGGTAGGTAGGAAATCTGCCTGAGGAGGGTTGGGGGACATATGTGTGCCTGCTTAGCCTCCAAGAGGGACCACATCCCACTTCTCACCTTCCAGTTGAGGCCACCCCATGGCCCCTCAGTGAGCTAGGCCAAGGCCAATATGGCCAATGTTCACTAGCAGATGCCCAAACTAGAGGGAAGGACAGAGTACCTGTTCCTAGATTGGGATGGAAGCCCCTTTGAGGTCTGCTGGAAACCTAGAATACTCCACCACCATCTCTACCACCCCAGCTTCCGCAACAGTCATCCCTCAGTATCCATAGGGGATTGGTTCCAGGACCCCGTGTGGATACCCAGATTCAAAGATGCTCAAGTTCCATAGTCGACCCTCTATTCACATCCACAGTTCCATATCTGCAGATTCAACCAACAGCAGATTGAAACCTGTGGATACAGAGGGCTGACCATATTAGTATCAGTTAGGGAGCAAGAAGGCCAGCAGGAAGTATCTCAGAGGAGGTCCTGGGCATGTTGATGTTCATCCCTCTGTCTTGTGCAAAGCTTTGTCACCCCTCCAGTAAGAACGGCTGGATGCCAGCTGCTCTCCACCCTCCAGTAAGGAGAATAGCTGGATGCCACTGGGCAGTGCTGCTTGGCCATCCTTCTTCTTCAGGGGACCACATCTGCCCCTCAGAGCTCCAGATCCTTCTCTTCATACTTTGGAGAGCTCCCATAAGTGAGGAATAGCCAAAATGGCACTGGGTGCCTCTGTGTCTTAGGGAAGGTTATTGCCAACCGGACGGTAGACTATGAAGAAGTGCACTGGCTCAACTTCACCGTGAGGGCCTCAGACCATGGGTCCCCACCCCGGGCAGCTGAGATCCCTGTCTACCTGGAGATTGTGGACATCAATGACAACAACCCTATCTTTGACCAGCCTTCCTATCAGGTGGGTGGCCAGGCCAACAAATTGGGTCTAGGACATGTGCCCATTCCTTGGGGCCTTTGGGCATCTTCTGTTACCACTTTGCAAGCCTCTAAGCCTCATGGGAGTAACCATCCTACAAGCAGCTTGATGCCCTCGGTTGTCTGTATCAGTGAGTCCTAGGGCAGGGGCATAGACTCCAGGACTGACGTTGGCCTACTCTTTTTCTCCCTGCCCACTGGGCCTTAGGAAGCTGTCTTTGAGGATGTGCCTGTGGGCACAGTTATCCTGACAGTCACTGCTACTGATGCTGACTCGGGCAACTTTGCCCTCATTGAGTACAGCCTCGGGGATGGAGAGGGCAAGTTTTCCATCAACCCCACTACGGTAAGCAGGCAATGGAGGGAGTGGGTTTGGGGAGGGCCCAGGGTCATAGGCTGAGAAGCCACCAAAAGTATTATAGTCATCCCTCTGTTTCTGGGTCCTGCCACCTGGACATCCATAGCCTCAGGTTTTAGCCAAGTCAGCAAGCCCTGTTCTCGGAGTCCCAGACATCCTGCAGACTGTGGCCTTTCTGTCCCAGCAGACATGGAAGGAAGGAGCCAAAGTCTTTTGGAGCTAGCCTTTTGTGGGGAAAAACTTCTGAGATGCTTTCCCAAAAGACTCAAAAACTTGATTCAAGTCCATGCGACTGCTTTTTGAAACTGTCAAGAGAGACATAGGCAGCTCTGCAGAAAGTTGACACCTCTGTGGCCCTATACTCAGTACATCTTCCGAGCTTCCGTGAGTGTTAGACTTGTAGGGGAGCAGAAACTCGAGAAAAGGTGATTTCCAGTGTCTGCAAATTGGCTCAAAGCTGCTGTTTCGGTAGAGAGAGAGCCCTGTGGCCTGGGGCGGTTGGTCAGGTAGGGCGTTCCCCAGCTGCTGGGCTAGAACTGGACTTCGCCTCGCACTGCCTCCCCGTGCCGACATCCCCCTGCATTCTGCGCTCTCGGCAGCGTTCTCTCCTTCCTGCTCGGTGTAAACAGTCACACGTGCTCCTGGCCTGGCACTATGAACAGCAAGAGCCACTAGAATGAGAGCTCCATCGGGGCAAGGGCCATTGTCTCTTCTCTTCAGTGCTGTATCTCCAGAGCCCAGAACAGTATCTGGCACATAGTAGATGCTCAATAAATAAATGCAGAATTGATGAAAGACCTGACTCCACCTCCCCCTACTAGGGTGACATCTATGTGCTGTCCTCTCTGGACCGGGAGAAGAAGGACCACTATATCCTGACTGCCTTGGCCAAAGACAACCCCGGGGATATAGCCAGCAACCGTCGAGAGAATTCAGTGCAGGTGAGGGGTGCCAGCCTGGGCCAGGGACACCAGGGGACTAGGGTTGTAGAAGCAGCAAGCAAAGCCTTTAGAGAATGATTGCTGCAAAGCAGGAGCAGAGTCACCTGGTCCCCTCAGAGATATGACAGCAGGAAGAAGGCAAGAGCTTAGCTGGATAAGTCACAGTGGCTGTGGCTTAGGGATTGGGGGACTCTAGCAGAAATCTCTTGTGCCAAACCCTTGCGAAGGCAGCTAAACATACCTGGGTATAACCCAAATAAAGCCTGGGGCTCCACATGGCCCAGCGTCTCCATCGTGTCCCACTGAAAGAAATAGTCCGGCACCTAAACATAATTTTAAAGCAATTATCTTTATTTATGTTTCTTAAAAAACATTAACGAGAGATCAAATTCACAGCCCCATTCCCAGTTCAGTTCTAGCGTCCACAGCTACTCTAAGGCCAGTACCCTACCTTCTACACTCCACCCCATTTCTGTCCAAAGTCCCATTCCTTGAGGCTTTACTTTAATTATCCCCACTTCTTTCTGCCCTATCCAGGCATGTCTTTCTCCATTCAGTTCTTCCAGTTCTCCCTACAATAACCTAACTTTCCAAAAAAACTCTCCTGGGTGAGAAGGTGAAAAGCTGGGTGGGCAAATTCTTTTTAGCAGGTAGGGGGAAGAGGCTGGGAGCACTCACACACATCTGAATCCTGTCCCTGTCACCTAGCCATGTGCTGTGTGGGGAAAAGCACAGTGTTTGATGTCAGATTAAGGCTGCTTCCCTCCCAGGGCAGTGGGGTGGTGGGGAGTAGAAAGTGCTTTGTGCACCGAAAGGGGCTCTTAAAATCACTTCTGTGAAAAGCTCAGTGAGGATGTAGTCAGGCAGGGCCACAGGAGCCAGGAGGAAAAAAAGTCCTCCTGCCCTGGGCTGTGGGGTCCACAGAGAGAGCCACGTCCCAGGCCAGACACAAATCCCAGTCAAGAGAGGACATTCAAGGGTGGAGGAATCACCATCTAGCATTAAGGTCCAGAAATTAGAATGTGATGTACGGGGCCACTGAAGGCAGGGGCCAGGGGCAGTGCAGGAGGTGCCCAGGAGGGCTTCCTGCTTCAGGGCCCAGACACAGAGACCTGTTAAGCACAGTCCCATCTGCGAATGTTTCCTTGGGCCAGGCACTGCACACATACTGTCACCATCTAGCATACACCGTCACAGGTGAGCCCCACAAGCCCCTGAGAAGAGATGTGTCATCCCCAATGTACAAGTAAGAGGCTCAGGGGGTTAAATGTGTTTGAGGTCAGACTCCAACAGTGGGCACTGTCCACCTCTTTTTACTCATCTGTGACTAGGTCACCTGAAGTAGCTCTCAATATGCTCCTGACCTTTGACTTCAACCTCCCCCTGCAGGTGGTGATCCAGGTGCTGGATGTCAATGACTGCCGGCCACAGTTCTCCAAGCCCCAATTCAGCACAAGCGTGTATGAGAATGAGCCAGCAGGCACCTCGGTCATCACCATGATGGCCACCGACCAAGACGAGGGCACCAATGGGGAACTGGCCTACTCCCTTGAGGGCCCTGGCGTGGGTATGTAGCCTGCCCTCCACCAGCGATGCCTTGGGAGGGTGCGGGGTGGGAGGAACAAGTGGCCATGGGAAGGATGTCTCAGCCAGAGCCATGCCCTGCCCTCCTGCCAGAGGCCTTCCACGTGGACATGGACTCAGGCCTGGTGACCACAAAGCGGCCACTGCATTCCTATGAGAGGTTCAACCTGACTGTGGTGGCCACAGATGGCGGAGAGCCCCCACTCTGGGGAACAACCATGCTCCTGGTGGAGGTCATCGATGTCAATGACAACCGCCCCATCTTCGTGCGCCCACCCAACGGCACCATCCTCCACATCAGAGAGGTACTGCTGTCTCCTGGGGCCTCCTGCCCACCACATCCCCCTTCCAATATCCAGACCACTTCCTCATCCTACAGTCATGCCTGGAAGAGTGAAAGGGCCCCCGCTGTGAAGGTGGAGAAATTGATGCCGGAGTAGGGAACAGACTTGCTCAGTGCCACACAGGGCAGTACTGAACAGTGGTTAGTAATATGGGCCTTGTCAGCAAAAGGTCTTGGGTTCATATCTAACTTTATCGCTTACCAGCCAAATTACCTTGAGCAAGTAACTTCTCTCAGTCTGGTTTTTCATCTGCAAAATGGGACTAATAATAGTAGAAGCTCCATCTCTTGCTCTTAAATATCTGCCAGGAAGGACAGTCTCCCAGAAATCCACTTCCCCCTTACTGTCTCAAAATAAACATACATACCCTTTCCGTCTGTCTGTTGTTCCTACCCATACCAAAGTGGAAACAGCCTAGGAGCTGAGGATGGGCATCAAAATAAGAAACAAGGGGAAGTGGCCGAGCTTCTGGAACCTCTCCAATTTTTTTCATTCCTTGCTCTAAATTGCCTTGTAAAGATGGAGAAGTCCTCCTCTGTCTCCTACCCTTTCCTTCCGTCTCAGCAGCCAGGCCCAAAGTGCTCCTTGGTGGTATAATCAGGGTGTCTCCTATTTGTTCTTTGCTCCCCAAACTTCACCATGTCTCCAGGTCTCCAAATGTCAGCATTAAGTCCTTGTGATCACTCTTATCTCCTCTTTGAGGTCCCATGGGAGACATTGCTGCCAGGCCTGAGCTCCAGGAAACACTGTTTTTACATTGTGATTTGCTTTTACCTGTGTCTACTGTAATGATTGGTCCTCTTTCCTTTGCCCATTAGGGAGCTCAGAATGGCCAGTCCATCTTCAGTGGCCCTGCAGTGTCTTAGCATACACAGCTTACCTCCTATCCCTCAGTTCCCATTTTCCTGCCAAACATTTCTTTACCCTGATTTTTTTAACTTGTTTACTCTTATTATAATTTATACTTTCTTGTAAGCTGCTTCAAATCCTTTGTTGAATGAAGAAGGATATAAATTCATAATAATCTAGTTCTTTTCCACACCAAAGGCCCCATTTACTAACTTTTTCCTCTTCAAGGGCTCCATATTTTGAAAGATTCATGTCTCTCAGCAACTAGCATTTGTTCGATAATAACCTGTTTGTCATCTGACTTTCTATTAACTAGCTATAACTGCCATTCAGAGTTTCTGATTGTCACGATCAATGAGATAAACAGTGAAACTGTGCTGAGCTGGTGATTTTTCAACTAAAAGCAAAGAAACTTGTTCTTTTCCTTGTGCCCTTGCAGCCTTATCATGGGTCAACGCACGACATCAATTAGATTTTTTGATATGTTACACTTAACTCAAGGGATTCAGGAAACTAGGGCTCAGAGAAGTGAAGTGGCACGTCCAGGTCACATAGCGAATTAATAACAGACTAGAACTCAGGTGTCTAGTCTGAATCTACTATGTCACCCTTCTAGCCTGTCCCTCATTTTCAGGTACCCCACTGGGTGGTGGATGGTGTTGTTTGAGGGTACCTAGAACTGTTTGGGGTAGCAGAGTGCAAGACACACCTAGAAACAGAGGATGGTTTTGGCCTCAGCTTTTGAATACCCCTTCTATCTCTAAAACTGAACATACAATGGGTCAGAGAGATAAGGGTAGCCCCTGGAAGGGCAGTCACCTGAGACAGTTTCCAGAATGGTGGTTCCCAGGCTAGACCATCATTTGGTCAGTGGCCTTGGCTAGGAGTGGGGTGAAGGGATGTTCTAGCAGGTGCTCAGACTCCAGGAGAGTCCAGCCAGGCAGGCAGACATCTCCTAAGAATGCTGAAATGTGGCAGGGACATTATGCTACAGGAGGAGAAAGAATGAGAGCTCCATCCGACGCCCCAGGAGCCTCCCTCTCTTGCCCCCACCCCCTCCCCGCAGGAGATCCCGCTGCGCTCCAACGTGTACGAGGTCTATGCTACAGACAAGGATGAGGGCCTCAATGGGGCGGTGCGCTACAGCTTCCTGAAGACCACGGGCAACCGGGACTGGGAGTACTTCACCATTGATCCAATCAGCGGCCTTATCCAGACCGCGCAGCGCCTGGACCGCGAGAAGCAGGCGGTGTACAGCGTAAGGGGGCGGGGCCTGGCTCAAGGGGCGAGGCCAAGGGAGGAGCTTTCCTCTGGGCGCAGGGCCACCACCTCCCCACCTAGAATGTCTTTAAGAGTGGTGACCTGGCTCTTGGCGAGTGCCCGCCTGGGGCCCTCTGTTTCTTCCTCTGACTGCTCCTCCACCTCCAGCTCATCCTGGTGGCCAGCGACCTGGGCCAGCCAGTGCCATATGAGACCATGCAGCCGCTGCAGGTGGCCCTGGATGACATCGACGACAACGAGCCCCTCTTCGTGAGGCCTCCAGTGAGTTCTCACCCATCCCCTGCGCCGGTCTCGCCCACACAGAGACTCCCTGCCTGCAAGCGCACACGTGCACATATCCCCTTTACAATACACACACGTAGTTGCACACAGAAACCTACACACATTTCATAGAACAAATATGTATTGAGCAGCTACTATTTCAAGGCACTACACGGCAGTCAAAAAAGCAGACAAAAAAATGCCTGACATCTGGAGCTGACATTCTAATTTTATACAATGTACACAGGAAGCCTGAAAATCAGCTCTACTTTGAGCTGGGGCTGAGCCCCTTGCGTGGACTCAGACTCTCTGACTTGGTTTTTCCTACTCGTTTGCACATGGGATGTGATGTTCCCTGGAGACTGCATGAGTGTGGGTGTGCACATCTCACATGCATATAAGAGAGTGTGACCCCCTCGTTCAAACATCCATTCAGGTGCTAGGGAACTTCAGAGAACACGCCAAACCCAGTCCTGTCCTCATGGAGGATGTCACTGGGTGACATCCCTTAGAGCAGAGCTGGGGGCTCCTAGGCTCTCAGCCTTTGCTCCCTTGAGGTTACAGCCTTTCTGCTCGCCCCGCAAGGTGTGCCCAGTCGCAAAGGCCTTGCCTAGGGCCCTCTGGCAGGAGCTGGAAACAGGCCTCCCTTGGGTCTCCTGTGATGACATACCTCTCCCCTCTACAGAAAGGCAGCCCCCAGTACCAGTTGCTGACAGTACCCGAGCACTCACCACATGGCACCCTCGTGGGCAATGTGACAGGTGCTGTGGACGCAGATGAGGGCCCCAACGCCATCGTGTACTACTTCATTGCAGGTGGGTCCTGATGGGGCTAGTGCCCTACCTATGCTAGGGCTGGAGATGACCCCAATATGCCCCACCTTGACCCTGCCCCCTCACCCTGTGTCTGGGTCCCACCTTCAGCTGGGAACGAAGAGAAGAACTTCCATCTTCAGCCAGACGGACGTCTACTGGTGCTGCGGGACCTGGACCGGGAACGTGAAGCTGTCTTCTCCTTCATTGTCAAGGCCTCAAGCAATCGCAGCTGGACACCTCCCCGTGGACTTTCACCAGACCTGGACCTGATCACTGACCTCACCCTGCAGGAGGTGCGAGTAGTGCTAGAAGACATCAACGACCAGCCACCGCGCTTCACCAAGGCTGAGTACACTGCAGGTGCAGGGACTGGAGCCTGGGCACAGGGTGTGGGGTGGCCCCTGCCTTACCACTTACGCCCACCTGCCTATTCCTTCAGGAGTGGCCACTGATGCCAAGATGGGCTCAGAGTTGATCCAGGTGCTGGCTCTGGATGCAGACATCGGCAATAATAGCCTGGTCTTCTATAGCATCCTGGCCATCCACTACTTCCGGGCCTTTGCCAACGACTCCGAGGATGTGGGCCAGGTCTTCACCATGGGTAGGTAGGGGCCTGGTCACACATGAATGGCCTCCAGCCAAGACCTCTGTCACTGCACGGACTGTATCTGGAAGATATGAGGGTAGTCTGTGTAGGCACCATGGGGTGCGGGTGGCCAGCCAGCCAACCATGTCAGTCCTTTCATCTACCCATCCATCTGTCGTTCATCCATTCAGCCAGTCAGCCATCATTTGTTAATCCTTTTATTTATCCACCTATCCATATCTACATCTACCCACCTACTTCCTTCTTTGTGTCTTCCTTCTTCCCATTTCCTCCTCTATCTATTATTTATCCCGCTATCCACCCACCCATTCATCCATCTGTTCCTCTTTGCTCTCATACGTACATTCATCCACCCATCAACCCACCCGTCCACTCATCTTCCCATTCTCCTTTCCATATATCCACTTGTCTTTCCATTCGTGCACCTCACCTTCCCATGTCAGGCACTGTGCCAGGCACCGGGGAACCAGAATTCAAAGAGCGCGCTTGTATCTAAAGTGTGCAATGTCTGCTTGTGTACTTGCCTGTGTTGATGGATGAGCCCCTCTTGGTCAGGTTCTAGAAGGTGTCCCAGTGGGTGTCCCATTACTTTACTTCTAGCCCTAACATCTTCCCTGCTCTTTTCTATCTGTAGGAGTCAATGCAGACTCCTTGGCCTGGCATTCAAGGACCAGGTCTTCCTCCTAATCCCCCTTGCTGATTCCTGATCCCCCTACTATCCTTAAGGGCCTTGTGCTCAGTCAAGCTGAACGCACATTCCTTCAGCCTGCTCTACACCATCCCCCTGCACCTTGATCCCTTTTCTTCACTTCCTGAAAAACCATCTTGACCTTCACCGCTGCCTTTGGATATATTCTCCCCAACCATCCTTCAAAATCTAGTTCATATGCCACCTCCTCCAATCACACAACCAGACACCATCCCTCGGTCCTCTGAGCTCTCTCTGCTTTTTATTTTAATAAACTAAAACACAGAAGGGCTAAGTAGCTTGCTAAAGGCCACACAGTTATAAAAGGGCAGTAAACCCAAGTCTATTGTCTTCTAAGAGAAGACTGGGCAGTACCTCCTGAGGTCGTCTCCCTACTGTGATTATTGAATTCTGAAATACTGAGTATGAAAGAGACACGGAAGGGGCTCAGAAGTGTCCATAGCACTCCAGCAGGGGGCACCAGAGTCTCAAACTCTTCATCCTTGGGCCGGCACAGCCCACAGTTGTGTTTTGTTGACTATGCAGAATGTTTAAATAAAAACTTAGGTCAATAGTTAAAAATCAGGAGGGTTCACTAGAAGTCTGTAGAGGAGATGCAGGTCTGGCAGCACGAGCTGTACTCTCTCCTGACAGTCGTCAAGCTGAAGCCCTCCCTGGGCTCTGCGGACATCTGAGTTCTCAGTTGCTGCAGGCCCATGTGGTCTTCCCTTGGTATGTCACTTGCCCCTGGACCTCACCCCTTCCTAGAGGATTCTGGGACACATTAGGGGGGCCCTGAGCTGCTCCTCACCTGTGGGCTTTTCCTACAGGGAGTGTGGATGGCATCCTACGCACCTTCGACCTCTTCGTGGCCTACAGCCCCGGCTACTTTGTGGTGGACATCGTGGCCCGGGACCTGGCAGGCCACAACGACACGGCTATCATTGGCATCTACATCCTGAGGGATGACCAGCGCGTCAAGATCGTCATTAATGAGATTCCTGACCGCGTGCGTGGCTTTGAGGAGGAGTTCATCCGCCTGCTCTCCAACATCACCGGCGCCATCGTCAACACTGATGATGTGCAGGTGCCCATGGAACCCATGCTGGGGCTGGGGGCAATGGAGGGAGAGGGGCACTAGGCCACAAGGAGGGACAGGGCATTGTGGAGACGTCCCGGCTGTGAAAGAGGTTATATGCCCTTCAGTCACTTCTTAGCTGCATGACATTGGGGAAGTCCTTCCAGATCTCTGGGCCTCACTTTTCCCAGGGGGCTAATAATAGTGCCCGGTACAGCGCTGTGAAGTGATGGTCACTGTGCTTCGTCCTCAGTGAGCACTCAGTAGTGATGGGTTTATTTTTAAGGCAGGGTGGGAGGAGCTCCTAGCCCATCCCAACCCATCCTTTGCCCCTGCCACACACTGGGATGCTCCTTCTCGCCTAGTTCCACGTGGACAAGAAGGGTCGGGTGAACTTCGCACAAACAGAGCTGCTCATCCATGTGGTGAACCGTGATACCAACCGCATCCTGGACGTGGACCGGTGGGTGGGGGCCTGTACTCAGACTGTCAGTCTGCCTCCCTGCCCTGGAGTTGGGGAGGATACCCACCAACAGAGGCACAGACAACACCATCAGGCCTGCTGTGCGGGGCTGTCCCCCAGAGGTGGGCAGGGCTAGCAGAACACAGTTTGTGGATATGAGCAGAGTCCTGCCCCCTCTGAGCCTTACTCTTCCCATCTGTAAAATGGGAGTATTACACTGAATGTGAGGATCCAACAAGATCCTGTATGAAGGGATGGTGAACCCTGTAAGATACAAAGCTGGGTGGGCTTTAATCTCGCAAGGCTTGGGGGGAGGGTGAACTTTAGGGGTCCGAAGCGGGAACTGGGCAGACTGGCCTGACTGGGGAAAGCTCTTGGGGGATGGCTAAGGATGAGAGCTAAGGTCTCTGCCCCTTGCCCAGGGTGATCCAGATGATTGATGAGAACAAGGAACAGCTGCGGAACCTTTTCCGGAACTACAATGTCCTTGATGTGCAGCCTGCCATCTCTGTCCGGCTGCCCGATGACATGTCTGCCCTACAGGTACCCCTGGTGGTACTCCTCCCTCAACCCCCTCTCTGCCCTGGATGCTCTCACCTGCTCACGCCTGGCCCTGTTTCCCCAGATGGCAATCATTGTCCTGGCCATTCTCCTCTTCCTGGCCGCCATGCTCTTCATCCTCATGAACTGGTACTACAGGACTGTGTGAGTTATCCCTATCCCCCTGCCCTGAGATTGGCTGACCAGTCCTGCTCCTGCGACAGATATGAAGGCAGGCAGGGCCCTGAGATGCCAGCCTAGCCCCAGCTTCCCTCACCAGCCCCTCTGTCTGCTTCTCTCCAGACACAAGAGGAAGCTCAAAGCCATAGTGGCTGGCTCGGCAGGTGAGCAAGGGCTGTGATGTGTGGGGAGGTGAGAGGCAGGAGGGGTTCCTGGAGAACTTGAGTGCTTGCCCAGGCCCTAGAAGGCCCTGGACCAGTCCAGGTTCCCAGGCGCTGTTGGGGCGGCCGCCTCCCTTCCATGTCCCACCTGCTCCCTGCAGGGAATCGCGGCTTCATTGACATCATGGACATGCCCAACACCAACAAGTATTCCTTTGATGGGTGAGTGGGGTCCCGGAGCCCTGCCTGGTGCACTTTGGGGAGGCCTACCAAGGACCAGCTGGGTTGGAGACTTCCATGCTGCCTCCCAAACAGTGAGGGAACCGCTGACTAGCTGAAACCTGGGGTGTGTGCGCCCCCTGGTGGTCCAGCTACCCCTCTCTACTCTCAAAACCCCTGTCGCAGAGTTGGGCTCCCTACCCTCTAATAGGCCCCCAGGTTCCAGGGGGCATTGACTTTGGTCATTGGGTACAGGGCAAGGCTTCCAAACCAAAGCTGATCCATATTGACATGTCCTGTTCTGGATCTAGTGGGATCCTAGAGCGGGGGACGCACTCACAAGTGTCATGGGTAAGGGGCCTACTTATGGTCCCTAACTCCCTGGTTCTATGAAAGGCACTGCAGTTGGCCAGGGAAATGGGCAGGGATGAGAGATGAGGCTGGTAGGGCATTTGTCCACTTAAGCCTTCCCTCCTCCCGCTACCCTACTCCCCACTTACAGGGCCAACCCAGTGTGGCTGGATCCTTTCTGCCGGAACATGGAACTGGCTGCCCAGGCTGAGCACGAGGACGACCTGCCGGAGACCCTGAGTGAGATCGCTGACCTATGGAACAGCCCCACCCGCACCCACGTGAGCCAGGGCCAGAGCCGCGGGCAGGGGTGGACGATCAGGAGGGATGGGATAGAGGTAGGGTAGATCTTCGCCACCACTGGCCAAGGAGCTGAGTTCTCTGGCAAGTGGTCCCCTACCCTGTATGTGTGCATGTGTGTGTGATGTCTGCCTCCGGCCCGGCTAATGTCCCCTCTCCCCAGGGAACTTTTGGGCGTGAACCAGCAGCAGTCAAGCCTGATGATGACCGGTACTTGCGGGCAGCCATCCAGGAGTACGACAACATTGCCAAGCTGGGCCAGATCATTCGGGAAGGCCCCATCAAGGTGAGCCCTCCCTATAGGCTCCTGCACCCAGAGCCCTGGCTGAGCTCGGACCCCCTCCAGAGGATGCAGGGACAGGGAAGATACTGGGAAAGAGCTTTCTTCACCTCCAGGCTCAACTAGACCTGCCCTCCACTGGGGCGAGACCACCAGGGCAGTAAAAAGGGCCTGGGCACCAGCACTGACCAAGAGCTGCTTCAGCCCACAGTGGCCTTTGGGCCACAGCTCCATTGTGAGCTGTCACCAGGCTCTGTTCCTGATCCTCTACACTAGAATTAGAGGCCTTTGCCTCCTCAAGCCCATCAGAGTTATGGGAGTGAGTGAGGGGCGGGTGAGGGCCATGGTGGGGGGGCTAACCGTTTCCCTCCCCCAGGGCTCGCTGCTCAAGGTGGTCCTGGAGGATTACCTGCGCCTCAAAAAGCTCTTTGCACAGCGGATGGTGCAAAAAGCCTCCTCCTGCCACTCCTCCATCTCTGAGGTAGCCGGGCGGGCAGGGGAGCTGTGTGCCGTGCCCCAGCCCTGGGGGTGCTCTTTCTCTCTCACCCTCCTGCTGCCCTCTTCCTAGTCAGAGTCTGAAGCTCAGCAGCCAGGGCCAAAGAGGGCAATCGGTAGGGGTGCAGGAAGTCAGATAGCAGGTTCTGCTGTGGGCTTTCCCAGGGATGGGGTAGGCAATGAGGCAGTGTTTCTCAGATTTGAGGAACCCCAAGAAGATACCTTTAAAGGGTGATGTCATTTAAAGAAACTGGCTGTAGGGTCAAGTAGGGTCTACATATGTTTATTTGCCTGCAGTAATATGTCAGCACTTTAAAAAGTCAGACTTTATCTAAAAACCCAGATTACCAGCTGGGCCAACATCCCCAACTGGAATAGGCTGAAGCTGAGTTCCACACAGGACAAAAGCGCCATTTGTGAGTCTCCACTACACCCTATCGATCCTCTCCAACTTTACCTGTGGATACTTTAGGCCAGCCACAATGAGGGTTGACCCTGCTTGGTAATAAACCCGGGTACAGTTGCATCACGGGATCTTTATAGATCATCAAAGCGAAAACAAAAAATTAAAGATTCTCATAGGAAGTCCATATTCATGGGAACACATCTGTAACACTGTTAAGTATCCATGGCTTCCCTTTGCACCCAGTTTGAGAAACACTGTTAGAGGCTGGACAGGCCTGCTGCAGCACCAGCCCAGGGTCTCTCGTGTGCAGTGTGGAAGAAACAGGCACACAGCACGTGGGACTCTGGAGCCACCCACCTGCTCACCCCTTGGGCATAGCCCTGAGTACGTGGGGGGACCCTGAGCCATTGGTGGGGTGGGGGGTCCTGGCCTCTTGCAGCTGATCCAGAGTGAGCTAGAGGAGGAGCCAGGGGAACACAGCCCAGGTCAGGGCAGCCTGCGCTTCTGCCACAAGCCGCCGACAGAGCTCAAGGGGCCGGATGGAATCCATGTGGTGCACGGCAGTACGGGCACGCTGCTGGCCACGGACCTCAACAGCCTGCCTGAGGATGATCAGAAGGGTCTGGGTCGCTCGCTGGAGACGCTGACCGCTGCCGAGGCCAGTGCCTTTGAGCGCAATGCCCGCACGGAGTCCGCCAAATCAACACCCCTGCACAAGCTTCGAGATGTGATCATGGAGAGCCCCCTGGAGATCACGGAGCTATGACCATCCGTGGGGCTCCTCACTGGTGTGAGCAGCGCCTGTCCCCCACCCCCTCCCAGGGCAGAGGCAGGGGCAGGACCATGGGGTGTAGGACCATGGGGTGTGGGCCCCTCCCCCAGCCAACCCTGGGCTCACAACCCTGAGTTGGCCTAGTGGTGGCAGCCCACCTCGGCTGCTCAGATCCTCTGCCAGACGCTCATTCAGCATCTGATCTCTACCTTCACAAAATTTGTTATTTTTTTAAGAAAACCAAAAACATTAAGCGTCTAACGATGAGGTAAGGAGTGTCCCTGGGGACCCAGGAGTTTAAGGACCAGCTCAGCCCAGGCTGAGTGGAGAAGCCAAGCAGGCCCTCCATTTCCCACCGGTCCTCATCCCCTGCCTGGCCTTGACTCCCTGACCTCGAGTCCCACTGCATTTTTGCCACATCCCTGGCTGGACATCCAGGTAGGGGCAGTGAGTGATCCCTGCCTCTACACACCAACAAGGTTAACATCCATGACCCGCTCTCTCCATTTCACTGGCTTCCCAAACGTGCCCGGCTCATAAAGAGAAATGACTGATGTTCCCTTGGATTTTGAATGTAGAGTGTTGGTGTGTATTTTTTTTAAATTAAGTTATTCCCTCAATATTTTCCCCTTGGTTTGTTTAACTGGTACTCACTGAACGTTTCTGGAATGGTCTGAATTTTAAAAGAAAAGCAACTCACAAGGAACCAGCAGTTCGCTCTGGCTCTGGTGAACTACCACGTGGCTGGCCTCGGAGGGAGGGAGTGGGTTGGTGAAGGGCACAGCAGATCTGCACCCAGCCTGGCCCCAGGTAGCTCAGGAGGGACCAGAAGAGACTTTCTTCACCCACTTCATTCTCTGGCCAAGAACCCAAGATTCTGGCTGAGTTGTCACAGAAATGCTCAGGTCTAGTTGACAGACTTTATTGTTAAATCAGAAACTTTAGTGCAAAACAAAAAATCATTAAGTCCATTTAATAGCAACTGCAGGTCTTGCTGTCTCTTGGCAACCAGAAATGGAACAGAAGATTCGGCCAACGAGAGGAGAGGCAGCAGCCAAGGCCCCTGGACAGCACAACCAGCAGACCCTCTACTTGGAAGCCAGAGGGTCAGGAGCTTGTCATCCACATTTATTTTAAGGTCAAAAAGAACATCTATGAAATGGGTCCAAGGTGAGGGGCTATCACTGCCTAGAGCAATGATGGGCTCTGGGCAGCAGTGCAGAGGCACAAAGGAGGCCTCAGCAGTCAGGCAGATACAGAGCAGGCATGAGGCGGTCACCACTGTCCACACACTCACAAAAGCCAAGCCCACACGACCTCCCCCTAGAGTTAGCAGGCTGCATTCAGGCAAATGTTCTCCCTCCCCACCCCCCAAATCCACAGAACCCCAAACAAGGCGTCACCAGGAAAGCAAGCAAGCTGGATCAAAGGTTGGCCCAGGTACACTGAACCCCACCCAGGGCTCCTGAGCAGCCGCTTCCAAAACTGTTACAATGTGAACTACATTGTTTAAAAAGCCTGATTATTTTGAGCCTCTCATCTTTCATACAAAACTGCCTGTTTTGCTTCTCTATATAGCAGCACAGGCCCAGTTTTTTTTCTTAGAGTAGGCAGAGGCCTCAGAAGCCAGCCAGCATCTAGAGCCCCCTCCTCCTCCAGGTAACCACCATGCAAAGGCAGGCTAAAAGACCTGCAGGCGCAATACGTCATTACCCATCTAGCAGAAAGAAAAGGGACACTGAAGCAGCTATGTCAGCGGTTAGGCACCTCCCACACTGACAGCAATGCTACAATAAGGGAGATAAGAGAGTGAGGGAAAGGGAGGCCTATTTGTTTTTTTAACAAAGTTAACAGATCTGTGTTTGTTCCACCAAACAATTAAGATGCTGTGGTTTCTCCAAGATGGAACATTCTTTCTAGTTCCACACGTGACGTTTGCAATGCTCAACGGCCTGAAAGGAGAGAGAAAAATGGGTTTAGTCTTCACTATGACAAACTCCTTTCCTGGCCTAGTCATGCATCAGACATCACCCCAACAATGGGACCTCTCCATCTTGCCCTAGGTCAGCTGGACCGCATCAGACACTGAAGTCTCAGGACAATATCAATTAAAACCAGGGAGCATGTGGCCAGTTTGGGGGACTTGTAAGGCAAGTATCCAGAGCAGCAGCTACAAAGCACTCACTCTATAGTGTTTTGCAGACGAGCACCCATGCAGGTAGGACCCAGAACTCCTTCATCTAGTCACATGCCTAAGTCCCAGTGCTCAGCTGACAGGCTGCGTGGAGGCCCACAAGGCAGAACTCACCCAAGAGTCAGAGGTGCACACCAGCTTGGGCCTTAAGAACTAGACCCACAGGCACATTTACCCAGGACAATGGAAGAAACCTATTCCACCACTGACCATGCTATGCGGTGGGGGTGATGGCAAAGATGGGCTAGATATGGCTGGGATGGGCCTCGCCAACCCCTCCCTGCAGTGGTCCAAAATGATGCAACATCCCCAACACCAACGCAGTCAGGCCCCACTGGTCACGAGGAAGAAAAAGTTGTGCAAAGGAACGTTAAGTAGCAGGCTAGTCCAAACATCCCCACCCAGGAAAGCAGCAGGGCTACCCAGCCAGGACAGTGCCATAGCACGCTAAGGCAGCCGGGCAGATACAAAGTGACCCCAGAGGAGCATGAGGACTTGTGGAAGAACTGAGGCAATGAATCCCTTGCGCAATCCCTGGGGTGACCTCGTGCTAACGTGACCCTGTCACAAGGGAACTGGGGGCAAACCCGAGAAAGCAGAAGCAAAAAAATTATTCAAGAACATCCACCTCAGCTTTCAACTCTCAAAGACAAAAACACAGTTAGCCCTGCCTTCACTGGGGCAGCCATGAGTAAGCCTAATGGTCTCTCTTGGCCTCAGTTTTTTCACTAACATATAGATAGGGTAGAGAGCCAGGCACTGAGGCTCCTATTAAAACATGATTCTCAAACGAGCTGCCGCCTGGTAAGGCAGGCCTGGGGAGCAGCTACTGAGCTACTCACGTTGCACAAGGTTGCTGCCTCCATGTTCTGGCACCAGTAGCTTGGGCCCCAGACACACTTCTCCGTTCCCAGAAGAGGCTTACGGGCTGCAGGGCAGACTCCAATTTTCTATATGGTGAATAAAAGGTAAAAAGATTGGGGAAGAATTAGGTCCACTCACCTAATCCTTTACAAAACAGATTATCAGCTTCTAGAAGCAGCTAGAATCAGAGCTCTGATATGCATGTTCAATAAAGATCAGAGTTGCTAAGTGAAGTGGTGGGGTCTACAAGCCTGATTCTCCAGCTTCCTGGCTACCACGCCCCATCCCTGGAGACTCTGCCCCACGGCCAAACATCTCATTCCTTCCTGGGTCCACGCCACCTCCCAGGTTACACTCCCCGAGAACCCACACCGCCCAGCAGAGCTCACCGAGCACACGAAGGACGGCTCCATCACTTCCACCAGGATTTCTATCAGCACAGGCTCGTACTCACTCACAAACTGATCACACTGAGAAACAGATATGGGTCCAGGTCTAGGTGTGTCCCAGCAGATGGGGACATAAAAGGGGGTGGGGGGGCACTGGACATACTATTTTTAAGAATTCCTGACACTGCCAGCCCAGTGGCCCCAGGGCCTCACCAGATGCCCCATCCACCCACATTTGGCCTCTTTTGTTCAAATTGTTTTCTCCCAGTGGCTCCATTTGAGCCAACAGATCCCCTATGAGAAAATCTCCCTGGATTTCATGCCTAGAGGCAGAAATGGCTGGTTTTCCCTCAAAACTTCAGTCATGATACAATCAATGAACAACCCAGCCTTTACATTCCCCAGGCAGGTTCTGATTCTGGCCAAAGGCAGCCCAGGGCATACCTGCTTCTGGTATGGGTCAGGCAGGAAGCTGCAACCTTTCTCGAGAGCAGCCAGAATCTCCTGCTTCGTGCTATTTTTCTCCAGGTTGTGGTCCAAATAGCCAACCAGCTTCTTGCATACCTCACAGAAGCCACCATCCTTCTGCTGAGTCACATGTGCTATGCAAGAGGACACAAGCTCAGTGGTGGCAGGGCCCTCCCAAACCTCAGGTGGCTCGGCCAGCCTCACCCCCACTGGGCTCACCAGTCAGTGCAGGCAGACCCTGGGAGGTGCAGAGATGGAGCATGCTGCACACCAACTCAGGGCTCGCCTCCTGCAGGAGGATCGACAGGATGGAGCTGCCGTAAGTGTCCACCACCTCTTGGCACTCTTCAGACATGGATGCAGGCAATTTTGAGCACACTTGATCCAAAGCGTGAATTATTTCTTCCTGAAACACAAGAGAATCACGTGGGAAGATAGGAGGCTAGATGGGGTGGGAGAGATTCTGAAAACACTAACATAACCAAGAAACTAGTCAACAGCAAGACGCTGTTAAGTCCCGCAAAAGACTACAACTACAAAGCAAGGCGAAGTGGCCTCCTCCAGCCCCAGCCCAGAAAGGTCCACTGGCAGAAAGTGGCAGTACATATTCCCAGGCTGGTGTCCAACACCAGCTATGGCCAAGCCCGCCTCTTCTACGGGGTTCTCCCGCTAGGCCATTCTAGCTCAAGGGACAGGAGGACTCCCTCTGCTGGGAGGGTCGCATTCTGCAAATCCACATACCTCAGTCTTGTTGTTGTCAATCATCTTAACCACCTCCTTCACCACATATTCACACAACTCACAGTAAACATTAGACTTCGCCTGGACCAGGTCCTTCTGTTGAGAGGGTAGAAGGAGAACACCTGAATGCTGAGACCCTCACCTCACCCCTTGGTCTTGCTCCTCCAAAGGAAAGGAGACACAGATGCCAGGGACGAGTTAGCATTGGAAAGAGCCACTTCCTTTCGATGTGTGGCTTACTCTCAGTGTCTAGGTTCTAGTCCTTCCTGTTTTTATGGGGTGTGAGACCCATCCCTTTCCCCAATCCTCTCTCATCACCACCGCCTCCCGTCACCCCACCCCCTAAAAACCAGGAAACAGAAGCAGTGAAACTGTCCCCCCACTCCACAGAGCTGTCCACGTGATGTGTTTGGTTACAACCATTTCATCATTCAGCATTCGCCTTGGAGAGGTGGACGGAAGAGCAGCAACTAAGTGAAGATCCACTATTTACTATTTAGAAGATATTTCAGGTCTGTTCTTGAGTTTCAAGTGTCATTAACACCTAAAATTGCTTTTCTAGAGCCTACCTTTAAAAATCAGTACTGTTGAATAGGCCCTTCTGTGACAATGGAAATTTTATCTCTGCCATCACATACAGTAGCCAATAGCCATATGTGTCAACTGAGCACTTGAAATGTGGCTAGTGTAACCAAGGAACTGAATTTTTTAAAACCCTGTCTTATTTAAATTTAAGTAGTCACATGTGGCTAGAGTATAAGTGATAACCCTCCACTTCCTCTGGCCATTACTTCGGTCAGCAGGGCCTAGGAGCGTCTCAACTCCTAGGATGAGAGGCAGGCAGCAGAGTTTCCCTGACTCTGACCCTTCCTGTGGTCCACACACTGCACATGCTGAAAGAAGGCAGCAGAGGGAGAAGAGACAACTAAACGACAAATAACTTGGGAAGGTCTGGAACAAGCAAGGCATGCATGTGCCATGTGATAAGACATCACATGGCCTGGGCCCATGAGAACTAGACTGCAAGGACACAAGGACAATTCTGTTCACCACCGTAGGTGAGCTGTTCTCAGTCTCGATCTCTAAAACACTGCCCAACCCATAAGAAGTGCTGAATAGAAACTGATTATGGAATGAAGGAGGATCTTCAAGCGAAGAGTGCTGGGAAAACAAAATGGACATCCATGCATGCACACTCAGAGGCTTCTGGGGTGTTCTAGGAAAATCGAGTTTGTACTATGGCTACAGTGTGGGGAAGGATGTGGGAGAAGCCACAGAGGGCACCGCAGTTCAGAAAAAGTTAGGCTGGAGCCAGGCACTGAAAAATGATCTTGAATACAGTGCTAAAAAGGTAAAATAAGGTGTAGACTCGATCCCATGAGCACTAGAGTTTATAATTATTGAAATAAATGTACTCAATACAACCTTGGCCAGTTCAAAACAATCATACAGATACCTTAATGGGCTCTACCAGTTCCAGGGCAGGGATGACATTCTCCGAGACCACTCTGGCGGGGATCAGAGGCTGCATGGGCATCTCCTTCACCTGGTCACAGAACCCAACCAGACCACAAATCTCCTTGGGTTGCTGAAGAGAACATAAAAAAAGCAGTCAGATACAGGCCTGCACCCACCATTCCTGTCTCACCCTCTACACACAAATGTCAGGGTGCTGCACTTTGGTCCCAACATCAAGGGCTGACTGCCCCCCGACACACACAGGCAAAGATTCCATACTAAATCTAAAGGGGCTCATGCATATGCAGAGGGACCAGTTTCACATGGGGGAGAAGGCCACACAAAGCACTGAAGGGAGATCAGACAAAATCACTGTCTCTGCTCCAACCAAGGAGCACACTCTGGGGAAGCGAGACTCCTGGCACTTTTAAGAAGTAATCAATCATCTCCAAGGACACTGGTCTGCTCTAGAACCTGCTTTTCAGTTGAGCTGGTTCACTCAGTAGGAAGTTCTATGTTCTTTCTAGAGAAGGAACCTCTATGCTCATAAACTAATAGAAAGCCAAATGTGTTAGAAATAAAACCACACCAGATCTTTCAGTGGCAGGACCATTTAAAATGATGCATTAGGAACAAATGTTGGCTTTTTTAAAAACCCACATCCTACATTCACAATTGCACACAGTACACACGAAAACCCAGTCCCCGAAACTAGTGAATCCTTTCAAGTCACAAGGTCTCCAGATTGATCCCCTTTCCCAAACAGAAACCAAACCACAGAGAACTAGATACCATTTCACCATATGATAGCCAAGAGCAAGAAAAGTATACATATTTGTAAACCAAATGGCAACCAGCAACTAGCTCTGGGCCTGATGGCATTTGCCTCCCACCACCAAACCATAAAGCAGCGGGAACAGGATTGCTAAAAACAAGAACTGTTAAGGGAAGAGACCTAGATAGACCACAGCCATGGTTCACCTTGTTTTAATACTGAGAAGGTTCTAGAATTAATTAAGGTTGGGGAAGTCTGATAGTATATCCTAAGTAACCTGTCTTTGGCACATTTTAAAAATGGAGGGAAAATAAGAATGGAGCCAAAGATACAGCAAGTTTTTAGAAAAAAGACAGATTCACGAGGTGTATGGCTACTTTGTCTCAGCTTTGTTCTACTAACTCCAGCTTTGTGGAGCCTAAGTGAAAATTCAGATACTTCGGCCTAAGTCCTCTCCCACTAGACTTCAAAATACCTTTGAAAAATATTTAGTTACAGTGCTCAGAAGGGGGCAGTGCTCAGTACATCCCCCAAAATGGCTCACGAATTCTGTCTGAGGGCTCAGTGGCCCACTTTATGCCACAAGTGGCATAGCTCTCAAGTTGTCTGAGGTTGCTCCAGGACCCACAGCACCCCATCACCCAGAGGGGCAGAAGCCACAATCAAGAGATTGTTTCCAATTCTCTGGATCCAGCAGAGAGGGAACAGTCTGCTCACTATTTGCAAATACTTACTCATGCAGCAGAAGCATTTCTGGGGTTATGAAAAACAGGACTAAAGACATGCAGTGCTCTCTTGAGTCATGACAGAAACAAGGTGTCCCACCAGAAGTCAGGCCTACATGGATGGAAGCTAAGGCATCTCTGGCACCACCCGTGGTTCCCCATCACCACATCAGTAGTCTGCACGTGGCCAGCTGGGTGCTGATTTAGCCCAGAGCATAAGGCCCTGCTGGCTTCATTTTCTGGCCCCATGAAGGGGAGATGAGACCCCATCACCTGTATCACAGAGGAGAGATGCAAAAGCTCCCCTGCCAGCCTATTAACACAGAGAGGGACCCTGCCTTTTGCAATCTTTCCTTGTATCTGTCAAAGCTAATCATGCCATTAAAAAAAAATGAGTAAAAGAGCTACAAGCAGCAGCAGACCACTAATACAAGCAAATTCCCCATCACATACCTGTTCCTGCTGTTGAACAAAAAAACAGGAAATCGAAGATGAAAATAAGAGAAAGGAAAGGACACAACAGTTAAGAAAAAAATTAAAATAACAGTCAAGCAGTTAACCAGGGGAAATACCCCTGCAGTCACAGATCGGCCACCTTGTTCCCACTACTGAGAGCACATGGGGCTCTAAAAACTACTGTGGCGCTCCTCAAGGGACAGGCCCCGCTGTCCAGCTTGTGTATGCACCATCCCTGTGTCCCTGACACACCAAATCATGCTCCAAACACTGAGCAGCATGTCCCCGGAAAACACCGTTATGAAGGGCACTCTCCATTCTCAGAAGCCTAACCCCACCCACCATGCCTGCAAGGTCCTCCCCTCAGGTTGGTGAAGAGCCGCAAAATGGAACAAGACACAGGGCTGCCCAAATTAGGAACTTTGTCCTTTGGTTCGGCAATTCCAGTTTTAAGTATCTACACTAAGGGAAAAAAAGAGATGTGCATATACATCTATGTGGCTATAAGGAAGTTCATCATGCTTTTCATCCCAAGGGCAAACCTAAAAACCACCTAAACATCCAGCCATTGAGGACTGGTTACATAAATTATGTTTTAGCCGCGCAGTGGAATATTATGCAGCCACTTAAAACTCACTTGTACAGAATATTTAATGACCAATTTAATTTTAGATGAAAAATGCACTACAACGTTTGTAGTAGGATATAAAATGTGATCCCACTGATGTTTTTTAAAACCCCAAATGACTTTTGATTTGGGAAGCACTATCTATATTTTCAAAGAATTTCTATGAAGTATAATTTTTACAGTGAGAAAATACTTTTTTTTGTTAGCTATGGGGAAGCTTTAACTAGATCAAGTCACATCGAAGGCTTTTTTTTTCCTACCTTAGCTGCCTATCTTTGTAAGATGCCTGAGAACAAAGGTGGGGTGTGAATAATAATCCCAAATAAACTCTACTGTGACAGGATGGAGCCCTTGCGTGATTAAGAGCAGGGCCAGGGAGTAAATCTTTTAGGCTTTGTAGGCCATAATGTCTCAACTACTCAAGTATGCTGCTGTGGCACAAAATGGGCATTGTTATGTTCCAATAAAACTACAAAAACAGCCCCTGGTTAGAGAATAAACTCAAAGACTGTAGGCCAATCTCACCGTAGTGAGAAGTCAGCATGACAGACAGAAAAAAGTACAACTCACCCCTCAACCCCTGCAGATTAGGTCTTAGGAGGCCAGAGCATGTTCCCAATGGAATGATGCTTCAAACCACCCAACTCTGTGCAAATTATTTCCATGGAGCTGGCCAGCTGGCTTCCCATGATCTATACTTTCTAATAATGAGGGGATGCCCCTACCACCTGGATACATCAGAAGCAAGTCTGAGAGGTATGGGCTCAAGCAGCAGTGACAGCTAACACTGATACAGAGTGCAGGACCAACTCTAAGGGGTGGGACTGTCCCCTTCTCAGAACTCAGGTTGCAACACAGCAATTCTCAGGCCTGATCTAGCTACAGAGCAGACTATTCTCATGAGCCCAGGGTAAAAACCAGATGCTAGAAATCCGATGGCCAGCTCACATATGCAGAGGCAAATGAACTGCCAGGAAGGCACCCAGGCAGTTGTGGGTGTCACACTGGGGGAGGCAAGGAGGAGGTACTGAGCTGTAAGCGGAGAGTCTGTGGGTCAAAAAGGGCTCATTTTGGCCCAGTTTAGTACTCAAAGGTAAAAAAAAAAAGGGGGGTGGGGTGGGGTGGGGGGTGGAACTAACAAAATATTTTTCAAAATTGCTGAAAATCACAAAATTTGAAACGAAGAAGAATGTTAACAAGGTGCTTTCCCTGCCACCTACCATATGCATCATCATTTGGATAGCAATTTCAGAATACTGGTTGACATAATTCTTGCACTGGGGGAGAGAGAAACAGGTTGTTAGTGAAACTGCTAATACACACCAAAAAAACAAAAAAACAAAAAATCAGCACTTCCAGTCCCAAGAGTATTCTCGTGAATGTCTGCACTATTCAAGTTTTAATAAGCTAAAAATAGCAATTTGGTTATTTTATACCTTATGTGAAAAAACGTGTGTGCAAAAGGTGTCTTGAAAATGTTTTCCAAAGGCCCTTAAAGTCCTCCAATCACCTTTTATGGCCCAAACTTGCCCGAAGGTCATCCAGCAAACTTATTCAGTGGCAATTTAGAGTGAGTGTGGCTATAAAGAATGCTGCTAGGAATCAAAGATTACTTTTCAAATCCATTCACACATTCTTGAACAGAATTATTAAGTTTAAATCCAGTAGATCAACCTGCCTATTGTCATACACATCTAGGTATTTCCTGTAGATCAGCAGTTCCCAACCTTTTTGGTACCAGAGACTGGTGCTCCTATGAGAATCTAATGTCTGATGATCTGAGGTGGAGCTGAGGCGGTGATACTAGCGCTGAGGAGTGACTGCAAATACAGATGAAGCTTCACCAGTTCGCAGCTCACCTCCTGCTGTGCATGCAGCCTGGTTCCTACCAAGTCACTGACCAGTAGCTAGCAGTCCGAGGCCCAGGGTTGGGGACCCCTGCTGTAGACCCTCAGAGAATAGTTCTGGTAATTACTGGTCCGAGGCCCAGGCTTGGGGATGCCTGCTGTAAACCCTCAGAGAATAGTTCTGGTAATTACTGGTCTGAGGCCCAGGGTTGCGGACCCCTGCTGTAAACCCTCAGAGAATAGTTCTGGTAATTACTGGAGTGCCTACACAGTGAGAAAACAAAAGGTAATACTACCGCCCTCCAAGAGGGTTAAATTGGAGAAGCCGATTAACATAGCAATATGCAACGATACTTCAATGAGGCTAAGAGTCTCAAGCTTTCAAGAGAGTAAGTCGACAGAGAAGAACTCTTGACCCCCAGAGCCAGCCATTCCCATCTAGAAAGGCTGCTCTAAATCCCAGACCCATGGAGTCATTACAACCAGCTTCTCTACATCTAGTCTAGCAGAGGCTTTTCGCTTGTCAGGCACTAAACTGGCATTTTGGTTTTACACACCAATCTCATGAGTGTGGTTAGTGTGAATAGAGTCCAAATAATGAAGCTCCCCCTAAGAGGCTAACAAAATAAGTTTCTGAGCCCCCACATCCACCAAGGTAAGGAAGGCATCCCAGGTGAACCTCCTGCAAGCCAGCCTGCATGGCTTCTCATGGATGACAACCCTGCTGGCTGTGGGGAGAGCACACTTAGAATTATGAATATACAACAGTGAGGCTTCTAAAAATGGAGTATAAGTGGTTCTAGTGTTGTTTCTTATATACAAGGTTACTGGGAGAAAAAGAAATCCTCACAAAAGTGGTCTCTTTCCATTCTTTTATAGCAAGAGTTTTGTTACATATACAAATGCAATTAATCAACGAAGTATTTAAATGCCTACCACCTATTCTGGCTGCTTTTTAGTTTAAAGGAAATGGGAGTTTGAACAATCTCTTCCTCAAAGCTCTTAGGTTAGAACTTAAAACAGTATCCCAGAAGTGAAGTTTTCTTGGTTCCCGACTCCTGTCTCCAGAGCCCATGAAGAGACAAGGCTTACCATGTCAGCTATGCCAGGCCCCAAGCGGTCACACTGCTCCCTGGCATGTTCCACCAAGGCCTCGACAAAGGTGGAGTTGGTCCTTACGGCAGTCTGGATGTCAGTCACCATCTGAATGCAGTCCTGGCAAACGTCCCCACCAGCCTACAGCGACAAGGGGCAGTTAGCTGTAAACACTGCATACACCTCTAATAACTAAGAGGATTCAAATTCCTAGGAAAAGTTCCTCACATGCTCACAACCACAGCACTAGGGGGTGACTCCCTGAACAGTTCCTAATGTGTTTTCACAGGCTCTAAAACCTCGACAGTTTTAAAATCAATTGGGCATTGATTTTAGTAAAAAGAGAAAAGGGGGGAAATCTTTGCATATTTTTAAAATCCTAGTCTTTTAATTTAATTTAAATATCTGGGTTCTTTAGAAACTATTTGAAGGCTGGCTGGTGTAAATGCCCCCAGTTTAAGAACCACAGACACACTGCTGCCTTCATATCTCATATTTAATCCAACCAAAAATGGAGCCCAGTGGCCAAGCTTACGCACTGCCTTACCTTAGGCTGGGGCTCGCTACGGGGGCCATCCTGAGGGTAGAGGAGGAGGGGGATGTTGGCCATGAAGGGAGCCACAACCTCAGCCACGTCCAGTTCCGGGATCTTATTTGACTCAAGCTGTTTCTGGTGATTCAGCTCTGCCAGGTGCTTCTGAAGAGACTCACAGAGATTGAGAGCGGAGCAGACCTCCCCAGGATGGCTCTGGTGGGGAAAGAAGTCCAACTGGAAATCCTCTCCAGAGGAAAACAAAACAGGCCACCTGGTGCCTTTGAATCAGTCTCCTACCTTATCTTTTAGCTTGACTCGTGTATGCATATCCAGCTCATGGCATTTCAAACTAAACCACCCAACCCTCTCCCCCTCCATCTCCATTTCATCAAATGGCTCCACCACCATTCTCCCTGCGGGTCAAGCTAGAAACCCAGAACACATTCCTAACTCCTCCCTCTCCTGCACATCCCCTCCCACCATCAGCAAGTCCAGCCCACTTATCCTCTAAAACGGAATTTGCATCTGTCCATCTCCCCTATCCCCAGCACATCTCACACCTGTCCTGCCAGCTTTCCCTCCTGCAAATCCCGATAGGTATGATCTAGACCAAACCCTTAGAAAGGTATGTATGATCATGGCATTCCTCTCCTTGAAGCTCTCCAAGGACTTCTCACTGCACTCGTAATACTTAAACATGGCCTAAAAGGCCTTGCAAGATGCGAGCCCCATCTTCCTCGCCAAAACCTTGGTCCCATCTTAGAACAGTGACTCTCTCAGTTTTTTAAGCATCTATTCTTTCTTAAGATCTTTCCAAATTTCACAAACCTGGCCGTTGTTCATTGCTGAAAACACAACCTCTGGGACATGGTTTATGCAGAACAGATACTTATTAACTGAAAGTTGAGCATTCTTGTAGCTGAACCCACAAGTACATTCCCTGACTTACTCCTCAGGATAAAATCACAGAAACAAAATGAACGGCTTACTCAAAAGGACAGTTAAAGATCTAATTATCAAATCAGCACCTATAAGTGTTACGCCAGTTTACATTCCTTCAGTAATTCTACAAGTTTCCATCTCTTGTACCCTCCCCAACCCTTGAAAGTTACAGCAGAGGGTCCTGCCATGCCAAAGCCATTTTGGATGTTAGAACTGTAGTAAGAGCTGTTGAGAAAACCTAAATCGATGAATGGACTTTCCATTTTAATCACTCTAATCTGGTCTGGTACCTCCCCTGGGCCCCATGAGTGCACTGAAGGAAGATCTATTCTCCAACATGTACCATTTGTCCTTTAATTAGGTCCAGGATGACTGGGAGGTAGGAATCCACGATCTCCTTGCATAAGGCAGACAAATTCGGCTTTGGAAGCCAGTCACAGGTCTTCTCCAAGTACACGAGGATCTCTTGCTAGAGAGAACACAGGCAAGGGTCAGATCAGCACTTCTCTACAACTGGGCTGAAAGCAAGAGGCCCTCAGGGCAAAAAAAAATTGGAAGCGGGCAAGTAGGTGCCATGGCTCTGTCAGACCAGTGAGGCAAAGAGCAGACCCTCTCATTTGCAGTCTCACAGGCACAGGGAATCCCAAGCGGGAACAAACAGCCAAACGTACCTAAAGGTTAACATAATGTGATACAAAACCTCAGTCAACCTTAGACATGTAACACCTGGGGGTGGGGAGAGCAAGCTAGGGCCCACAGCCTGGTTTTGTATGGCTTGTGGCTAAGAATGGCTTTAAAGGATGGGAAGAAAAACAATTATGTAACAGAAACAGTATGACGCCTAAATTATTTCCTACCTGGCTTCCTTGTTAGATCCCCAGGTCACAGCTCTTTTAAGGACCTGATGCACGTGGCCACGTGGCCACCACTCACAGTCATACGTAATCGTGATGACTCACCTCAGTGGCATTGTCTTTCAACATGTTGCCAGCTGCGGTGATAACATCTTTACATACGTCGCAGGGAAGAGATTTCTAAAAGGAAAGAACATGAGGGAGAGAGATCTGTATTTGTGGGACATAACTCACACCATGCACAGCTGAAAATTCCCTTGACCTGTTTCCTATTTTATCTAACCAGGGATATGACTGTGGCCATGTCTGACACACCGGCGCATCCTGGTTCCCCAACCTAACTGAGGAGCACTGGGATGCCACAGGGGAAGGATTAGACACGACTGACCAAAATATTCTGTGCTTCTGTGGACAGACACCCTTTTCTTGCGCCCTTTACCCCTTAGCACCTTACTGCACATAATACAGGCCAAATTTCATATTAATGCTCACAAAAGCTGTGAGGAAACAGGCTCAGAAAGGTGAAAATCAGAGCAGCAGAAATCAGAGAAAATCAGTAATGCAATGCAACATCACCCGGGACCAATATCATTATCACAGAGTTAAAGGGGGTGGGGCAGGGAAACAAGCCCCAGCCAGACACTGGCACTTCTGTGTACTCACGCTGGCACTCCACCTACCTTGCACTAGTGCTATGTTCAAGTGGCGGCCACATGTCACCATGCCAAAGCTTATAGACATGACACCAGTCTTCTGATAAGCTGGATATCCAGGGCCCCACATGGGCCAGAGCCATGGAAAATCCAGTTGGTTCTCAAAGCTCTTGGGGAGCTCCCTTCTTGATGTCAACTGAATTTCGACCCATTAAGAAAAAACTAACATGTCTGGGTAAGATTAAAAAACACCTGTGAACTTAGCTGCCTTTAGAGAAACCAATTTGAAACTTTGGACCTAGTCAAGATAATAATGCACATGGGCGTAATCCTATCAAGAGACAAAGTTCTAAAGTCCTCACCTAAAAAACATTCAACTCGGAAAGAAACAGTATTAAAAACAAGATCAGAAGTAAATTAGAAACCAAATCTGCAAGTAAGTGTGGCTCAGAGGGTGGCTGTCCCATAAATTCGGAAAATATTTCTAAAAGAGCAGTGTTATTTAATTAATTATTCTTCTTACTAAAGGACTACTAATAGCCACTCACAAGTTTTAGAACTTGAACTCCACTCAGTCAAACCAGGCCTGTACACAGGATGCAGCACATCCCAGAGCAAGCCAAGAGTATCTTCTGCTGCTGGCTGGTGCAGCCAGCAAAGCTCGGGTGTCTCCTAAGAGGGTTCAGGTCATGATACACCTGAGGTTTGTCGTCTTAGAGTATTCCCCATGAGTGTTAACGGCCCCACGTTAATATGTTATATTTAACATTGTTTAGATGAAAAATCAGTGATATCTTTTCCACTTTGGTTATAACTGGAAATAAAATTTTAAATAACTGCGAAAGTTCTAGGGTCTAAATCAATGATCCGAAACAGGCAGAAAGAGGGAGAGAAAACATCAAAAAGGGGGGAATGATTTGAAAAACTTAACATCAACTTTTTGAGTGAATGATGTGCCCAGTCCTGGGAATGGGAGCTGCGAACCTGCTGGTCCCTGATCTGGAGTGGAGAGCTGAGATCTGCAGAGGCCTGGAGGGCAGCATGGAACACACAGCAGAGGGCATGGGAGGACCTCATCCTATCTCTGTCACCAAGAGACTGGGAGACCTTGGGTTCTCCAAACTCCATTTCCTCTGGTAAGATGGGTACACTCACCAACAGGCCTGCCTCCCTCGAAGGGTTACCATGAGGAGCAAACGAGATGAGGCAAGAGAAAGTGCTTTGTAAATGGTGGTAGTTACAGACACCATGAAGGGATCTCGAGTTCAGAACTAATGGCACTCACCACTGTTGGCTTGTTCCAGACAGTCTGCAGGCAGTGCTTCACAGCCCCACAATCGGCCGCTGTCTTCACATTCTGGCACCACACTGCTGAGCCTCTGGTGCATTCTTCTAGGCCTAGGACAGGGCTGGCTAGAGCTAAAAGGCAAAAACAGTGTGAGGAGGTGGCTCATTTCCCCCATACCAAGTCCACCTCACTTGTTTACCCAGGGTTAAGGGCTAGCCCTGGCATTTAGCTGGATACTCTGGCTTGGCCCCTCATCCAGTTTGTATGATACACAAACCACACAGAGGCAAGGCATCCAGACAAGAAGCTGTGTTGTCATATAAGACATGGGGCTGGAAGGGACTAATTTATCTGGTTTACTTTTTTCCTCTCAAACTATTGTTAAACAGTATCAGGGAGTATCAGGCCTTTTAACCTTTATAACCTTTCAAAAATTCCATGATGTAATGAAAGAAATCACAGAAAAAGAGACTGACTTCTATAAAAATACAGATTTTAACTTCTACAGGTAAAAAGAAAATTAGCCAGTTTTTTTTTAATCTGTAGGGGAAAACACCAAGATTCATATCCTCCTTACACAGAACAATGATTCTTAACATTCTAATAGATGAGCTCTTTTATAAACCTAATTATGTGAGTTTTTGCACATCGACAAGTTTACCAGCGAAAAAACAAGAACACATAATCCACTTTGATATCATGAAGTAAACATGTGTCCACTCAAAACCAGATTCAATGCATCTCATCTTCGGTGGTAATGATGAAAGAACTCAGGCAGAGGTCACGTGCACAGACATAGGATTAGGAAAAAACAAGGTTCAGCGTCACCTGGGACTAAAGAAATGCAGCTTAAAGCAGCTGCCATGTGTTCTAAGTTAAATCAGCCACACAAAAAAGCCTTGCCACTGAATAGTGACAAGTTTGTAGTATAAGATGCATTCTTATAAGGCTGATCTAAAAACCAGTAGATGCAACCTGAATAGCCAAAAAGAGGGAAAAACTAATGATATTCTTACTAAAATATTATGTAGCTGTTAAATACACTTATAAAGATAATGTATAGCAAATAGAAAACAATTCAAGAATATGAAATTATAAAGGAGTTGTACAAAAATCAGAAAAGAACAAAGCAGGTGGTTAGCTGAATTATTTAACTCACAGTGCTATGTTCTGTGCATATAATTTTTTAAAAATATTTTATAAATTACCTTAAGAGTTCCTATATTTCTTAAAAGAGGTCTATGGTGTCCTTGATTTGGGAACTGAAAAATCCTCAAGCGGAAACAACAGGTTTATTACATCAGGCTATACGAGATGGACAAACTGCACAGGGGGCATACTCCAGCAAATAGCACAGTGGCTAAACCAACTTCTATTGTAAATAGGCCAAAGTCTGAGAAGAAAACCCCACAGCCACTAAGAAATAGATTTAGAACCTCAGGAGTAATGCTGCATGTTGCTTCAACGTGTAAGCCAAAAGAGGGCACAGTAATTCTATAGACATGTAACAAACATGCACCCACGCACACACAGTATACACATGCAGGTGGTTAGGTGCTCGCCTTTCAGACCAGGGAAGGAAATGAAATGCTATTGTTACTAGCTGTTCAACCAAAGCTACCAGTCCACAAACTATTGATGAAAAGACTAAGTCACAGGTCCCCAAAAAGACTCAGGCCAGACTATCCACACCCTTCAGACACCAGCAAATAAATTATTAATCTGCTGTCCACATAACAGCCTTTTCTGTCCCCCTGGAGCCAAAATCCCCACCACAACCAGTTCATAAACTCAACCAAACCAGCCACATTCCAAAAGCTGTCGGTTTAGATTCTAGTTTCCATGGGAAAACATGTGCCAGATTCAAAACAATACTAGCGCCCCAACTGGCCCACAAAAGCTTAGTTAACCAGTAATATAGCCAAGCTGGGCTAGGGTCGGCCCTCAGCTGTAGGGCTGGGGAGGTAGGAAAATAGAAGTTGAGTCACTAGAGTAAGTGCTCTGGGGAGTATGGGGTCACAGAGACAACGCAAATGGGAGCCCTAGACCTGGCAGCTCCCACCAGGAGCTCCCATGCTCCTCCCAGGCACTGGTCCCCCAGGACTCCTGAAAAGCACCCACTAAGCTACACTGCCTGATTCTATGACCAAATTAGGAAAGAGCCCAAATAATGAACAGGAAACTACAAAATAAGTCTTTAGACAAAGAAACACACAGTGATACACAGGGAAGCCAGAAAGAGAATGGACATCAGCAGACAAAAGCAGTCAGTGAGCAGTCCTCTGCACATGGCCTGATGGCCATTCTCCATTCTTAGAAATACTCAGTCAAGTAGAACTTTGATCTAGGGATTTTCTCCAACCTTCCCAGCCAGGAACTGGCTACAAATGACCAAACTTTAGGGAGCAACTGCAACATCATAGGCCCAAGCAGCAAGAATACTTTGTAGCTTATTTCCTCCACCTAGGAACTTGAAACAGTAATCATTTGCAATAATGACTTTATTTGTTTTGGCCAAGTTATTCTGGACTAAAAATCATCCTGGGTAGCCCCTTTTATCTGAGATTGGCCCAGCTAACAAACCAAAGGTCATTTCCCAGTTAAGCAAGGCAAGCTCCCACCTCAGAACTAGAGGTAAAAGGTATGCATGGCAGCCAATCTCGTAGACCTATAAGGTCATCCAAGTCAAGCCCGAAACAGATTTTTATGGACACCGAGAAATAAAACTCAAGTCCCGGCTCCTAGAAATTCAGTTCTTAGCAAGACATCCCCATTTACCTCTGACCTAAAGCCAAATTTATATAACAGTCTGTGGTATACAGATGTGATTTCCTTATATGACCAGATATGTACTAAGAAACAACTGCGTGTCCTCAAATTGGTAATGTGAGGCTGAAACACAAGCCTGGGTGATACCTGGGTGGTACTTGCTGAGAGGTTCAGGTGCTTATTTCAGAAGCTAATCTCCTGAAAGGGAATCAAACAATGGGTCAGAACATGTGGAGACATGAATCCTTTCCCCAGAAAATGTATTTGTACACAAAATCCTCATACCATTTTAGGGGGCTCTCAGGAACCATGCTACCTGTCCAGAGACCCCAACTGTGTGTGGGCTGAAAGCCCTAGCGGCAAGCGTGATTTTTCTCCACGGCAGTGGGAAAACAACTAAAATAAAGGCAGGATTACCAACTCCATTGACTGAGTCAAGCTCAGTGTCCTCAGATTGAAGATCAATGTGAACAGATGACATACAACAAAGTAAATGGTGATATGTTAATAGAAATGCAGGGCCTCACATGCCCCGGGGGCAGCAAAGAAAATGACTGCTTAGGGGGAGCTAGAGGTGGCTTCTTCGAAATGAAGTTTAAACTGGCACCTGAAAGATGGAGATATCAGAGACTGGCTAAGTGGAGACGGCATGGGGGAATTCCGAAACATTCTACGACACAGCAGTTCTCTTTGTCAAAGGGGAAGAATTCCCCTTTGTCTTTTCAGGAGTAGGGCAAAGGAAGGTGGCAGGCGTCGAGCTGTACAGACAGACCTCATGCACACTGGGAAAGTCATCACCTGGCAAGCTCATCCCCAGATGATGAGTCCATCCTGTGAGCAACAGCTCATGCAAGTATCTTCATAACCCAGGCATGATGTGACATTATGTGGCAGAAGGACTGAAAATAAGGTGGGAGATTCAGGTGATGGGGTACCAAACTGGCATGGAGAGCTCATTCCAAAATGTCCAAGCAAGAAGCAGAGGCAGCAGGGCTGAAAGAGAAGCTAACAGAAAGATTCTGAAAGAGCAAGATAGCTAAGAAAATAAAACTCATTGGGTTAAACTGAAATGTGAAGTCTCTTAGGCTAAAAGAAAATGAAACAGCAAGAGCAACCAGCACAGGAATGGAAGTGGTGGTCAGAAGCTGCAGCTGCCTGAGCAGCCTGAGTAGAGGGCAGGGCACAGGCCACATGAAGGGCAGAACACATCTCGGTGCTTTGCTTCCTGTTAGCCAGTGACAAGCACAGCAGGTTGGAAAGGTGAGGGTATTCCTGAGTCCCCTAGAAGACTGGAGGCATTTATCTGAGAGAGAGAATGTTCAGGGGACATGCAGTCAACTTCATAGGTGAAAGACACCTTCCATGTTATCCCAGACCTCAGAGCAATGAGCATGGCTCAAGGTAAAGGAACACATTTAACATCCACAGGAATATAAAAAGGAAATGGCTTCCCTCATTAAGTGAATTGCTCTCCAACAGTGGAAGCAACTAAGCAAAACAAAATGCCCAACCTCTGAAGAATTCTGTGTAAGAGAGATCCAGAGTGCTAAGTGGGGCCAGAAGACCTCTTAGGGGCTACAAGTCTTCATTCTTACAATGAGGCAAAGGACATTTTCAGCATTTATACATAATATATAAAAATCACCCTAAACCACTTTCTGATGAGTTATTTCTCAAAACATGTTCCCAGCAAAGCTTTCATCTCTATTCTCATCCTCCCACAATCTGCCCCCAAATATCAACTTCCTTCTCTGAGGTAATATGCTGAACTCTAAGAAAGTTCTTAGAATGTCTGCCTGACCCCCTGGAGAGTTCTGATTAAATATGTCATATTAAGAAATGAACACTACCAGGGTGAATCAAGCACTACACTTCTTAATTCAAGGGATGGCATTTGAGCCCTCAATGACAAAACTCTGACAGGCTGAAATTAGAGAACTTACCATTTCAGAGACTCTGAACTCTACAGGTGAGTTTCATTTTATTAAGATAATAGGCCTTTTTTTTTAAGACTTCAATGTTATTTTCTTAGGAAAAGGGTGGGTGCTCTGTTCCCTTTTTACTCCCCAGCCCTAGAAGAAAACAGACATGCTCTAAACCATTCTACACGTAGGTCACTTATCAAAAATAGATTGTAATGGAATTTTACTGTATTGAGAATGGCTGCCACAAGCTAGACCAGCCGTGGGCTTTGTGGCAGCTCTAGATGCTAGACAAAAACCTCAGTGAGCCTGAGAGGGAGGGAGAATTCTTAGAACCAAGTGTGTTTTAGATCCTCTTATGATGACTTCTTGTGAAAAGGAACAAAACCTTGAGTTTAAAGTGAGCCTTCTAAGGCAATTTACCCACCATCTGAATTAAA